TCCAAATTGTTTTTATTTAAAAATGGCATGCAACATAAATTAACTTGTTATTCCTCGCTTCTAACGTTACGATTCCAACATGGCCGCCGCAACTAGTTTGGAGCCTTAAATTATGTTGATGAATATTGAGGGATGTTCATCTTGGCTCGAACAAATGTACGTTATGTGTCGCACTTCGTTGATGGACCGTTCAGATCCCGTTTACGCAGTGCTTATCGGTGTGGTTTTTCAAAAGTGGCGTAATTAAGACAATACTGGTCTTTTAGTTTAATTCTTTATTCACTTTTCGAATAGTGACTCGATTTTACAATATGCTTCGTTAAACGATACTTTGTATCCACGACTAGTCATACACTACATATGTTGGCGGTAGTGTACACAGTTCAGTAGTTAATGTGGATAAGACACACAGAAAAAGAAAGCGCGCAATAATAAGAAAAATGCGCGTAGTGATATAAAGGATGCGTTGCACACATACAACTTGTCGCAGAAATTGATAAATTGTAACGGAGTTTAATAACAAAGTAGGAAATTTTTATATCCCTAACAAGTTATAAACAAATGAAGATCGATGTCGAATAAATTGCTTCGTCATTATCATTTCCTAGCTTATACTCGTATAACAAATATCAGTGTATAATTTCATTTTTGTTGGATCTCAACCCTTTTGTTATGTATTAATTTATAAACAAATAGAGTTCAATGATAAATAAATCACTTTTTTGTTATTATTTCCTAGCTTAGTTAACAATTACCAGCGTAATTTCCATTCAATTTCCTTTTAATTATGTACAATAAAAGTATTATCATAACTTTTTATTGTTGTAGTAATATTATCCAAATGGGCATAAAAATGTGAAAATATTGATAACACGTATATATCCGTAATAAGGTATGTGTGGTTTGGTAGCGTAAGAAGATCCGATGACAAAAGAATCACGGCAGCTGGTTGTGAGTATTTCTCGAATATCCCGTGTTCTACGATTCCACGGTACATTATCATTGAGATAAAGGAATTCTATTATTGACGTGTTGCCACCTAATCCTGTATAAATTATTCATTTTTTTAAGATATTCCATTTAATGAAAAATTAGTTTTGTTGTGATTTCTTATCTACTCCGGCAAGATTATATGGTGCTGTAGTTAGACAAGGACAGCTAGCTATGACGGTCAGTTGTTGGAACAGCGGTTGCATTCCATTTTGCAGAACTATTATCACATAACACATGCATCAAATATGATGTATTTAGTGAATTAAATAATAAATATTGTATACACATACCTTCAGCGATTTTTGAGAGAGTCGGTTCATTTAAAGAATATTGTCTATAAGGAAGGTAATCAGTTGTATAGGTATCCCCATTTGGTCCCTCTGCCATAATGCTAAATTAGAACTGGAACACAAGGCTATTAAATTTTTATTGATAGCTACGCATAATGATTTACAAATTGTTATATTATAATAGTAAATTAATGTTAAATCTGATAAATGTTGATGTTAGCATGCTGTTTGAAATAATATAAATTTGGGGGGATGGTTAATAATTTATTATAATTACCTATAATATATATTATTATTGCTGAGGAGCATTTCTAAATTTTGAAAGAAAATTTAATTTATTTATAAACATTGTAAATATACTAAAATTTGTATTATCTGTATCCGAAATTATTGTAATAATATATGTTTTAAAATGGAAATAAATTTTACTCTTTAAATACAATAATTGGTACAGAATTGTGATTTATCTAAAAATTATGAAATACTTCAAACTTTTGAGCGATAGTATAATATATGGTGAATTTGCAATAATTTGTTATAAATACTGCATCTATCAAAATATATTATGTAAATTCTATAGATATCATTTTTGAACAAAACTGACAAATGTCTTAACTCATTAATATTCAAGAACTGTTGTTAGCTAGTAAGCTTAGTTGCTATTAATTGTACATACAGTTGCTATTTTTGAACAAAATTTAAACGATTTATTATTTTGTATCTGTGCATTAACTATAATTTAAAAATACATTGTACAATATGTCGAGCTGTTTATTTTTTAATAACATTACAATTTGTAACATTACAAAACATTGATTTTCGTAAAACAAATGCAAGATGTGGCTTGTAGATATAAGTATAGCTTAAATATTATTATTATATAAATAATGAAGATGAACAATATTACTCGGGTATTGTTTGTTAGTTTGCAAAACAAAAATTGTACTAATAATTTTAAACTAATGACCATATTAAAAAGATCATATAATATTTATAATTTTAACGAAGAATTATTTGACGATGCTTATTAGTTTCATATAAATATAATGGAATCAAACACACATATCAACTGTTACTGCTATTTATTGAAATTGTAAAGTTACATACACTATTGAAAAGTATTATAGTGAAATGATCGAATTTGGAATATTTAAAGAGAATGTTTTATTATGTATTAGCATAATAGATCTAGCTTGGCTTCTTTAGCTTTTATTTATCTAGATGAATTGTATTCATTTTGAATTTCACTTAAAATTATAATTCATAATATTTTTTTTCTTTTATATATTTAGTAATAAGTTAATAATAATTCTGTGAGCTAACATGCATTAATGTATTATATTTACTATTTTATAAAATTGTAAAATGTTTTATATATTTAATCAACTCGTCTCGTAGTCGTTTAAATTAGAATAATGAAGATATTATGTCGTATGTAAGCTTACATGTCAAGTATTTGTGTCATGTACTTACTAATTACGTTGCAAAAGTATAGCTTGATTGCAGACTTTAATTTCTTAGTTACATCACCGTCACAGACACGTCTTTACCATCTTATATGACATATATGAATAACAGTATGGGACACTTTGTCACTGCTTCTTCAAATGTAACAAGAAATCATTGGTTTAAGAAACTATAGAATCGTCATGGTCATAAGGATCAGGAGCAATAAATAAACATAATTTGGTGAAATCGTTAATGTTTTGAACAATCCAATGGAAATTTGAAATGTATTCTTTATTTTAAAAAATAAATTGGTTTGCAGTCGACAATTTATAATAAGCTTTGTGTGAATGTGTGATATAACGCGACATAATTGAAAGATTAAGATAATGTATTATACTATATATTTAATTATTAATCTGAGTAGTATATGGACAGCCATGGGGCGTCAAAACACACCCTCTCCACGTCTCCCTCTGGCGCCATGGGCGTGGCTTAGCCAGGCGAAAGGGTTCTGATTGGTTCGCCCTATACTCATCCAAGATTTGATTGGTTCGCCCCATATCTACCCAAAAGGTGATTGGAGAGAGTGGGTGGTAGAGGGCCTTAGACGAAATAGAGGTTTGAAAAATGGTGAGTGGGGATTTGGATTCTTGGGACTTCAGCATTCTTTGTCACGAGGCTAGAGTACGAACAGAGGGGGGATGAATACCGGTCGAATCTTATGACAGTCGCTTTTGTTGTCGCGGGTGGGCAACGTCTTCGACGTGTAGGCGATTCGGTGAATGTCTGATAAAGGAAATCTTATACGGAAAATTTGTAGGCCTAGAGAGAGACTTGCTTTTGTTCGGAAGAATTTTGGGGGGGAGGTAAAACAGGAACGAACACGTTCAGCAGTTGCGGCACGTTGTCTTCGAGCATTGCTTTAAAAAATTCTTTCTATATTTTGTGTATTTAATGTACATTATCTGAGTCTGTAATACGGGGAAAATGTATCTATTGTAAATGAGATTGAAGGGATAGGAGTAAGAAACAAGGCAATATTTACAAGTTCAAAAACGTTTATTTAAAAAAGATATTACATGAAATAGTTATTTTATTTTTTTAAAAGAGTACACGTTTGAACATGACGGCACACAACATGAGAATTTACGAGTTTATGTTTACATTGAAGAAAAATTTTATGTAATAACTGTACAATCAAACGATCATTTCGCTTACAATCAGAGGTAAACAGATCAAGAAACTGATTAAGATTATAACTATTACACAAATAATATAGAAATACACAGCAGTATTGTCCGCAAGTTTGAGAAAGTATTCCTTGCAGCGTTGTCGTATTCCAGCGATACGTGGTGGAGTTTCGTCGAAGTTGTAAGAGGAATCTTGGATCCAAGGGCGGCAAGCCATAGCTATCGAAATACGTTCCTGTCTCGTGTTCATCGATGTAGAAGGCGACCCAGTGTTGCCCGGATCGATCGTGATCGTCCGTGTTAGCGACAATGGCGGTCGACCACACCCTCGGCAGTCGATCGGCAGGATAGACCCCCGCATGTCGTACACGGAGATGATGTAATGCGTTTAAAACTTCCAGCGAATTCATTTCTCGTCGTCGGAGAGCGTGAGAGAGGAAATGTTTGCGTAAATTCAAAGTGTACCTCTTTTGCTGGTGTATGCAATGTGGAGCTCCCTAAAATGCTCGATGCTTGTGAGACGTTGGTGTTAGCTTTATCTCTATCGGTCCACGAGTCGAATTTTGAGAGGTCTTTTTTCTCCTTGTCTGTCACTTGTTTGTCCGCGCTTTGATTCGTCTTTTTCGTCGCGATGTTTTTCTTCCGCGTTTCAATGTTGCGAACGATATCGTGTTTCTGATTTTTAAATTGAATTGAAGACTTCTCGCTGTCGGTTTCTTCGCTCTCAACGACGCTCTCGCTCCAATTTCCCGAGGAAAGGTTATCATAACTTGAATTGTTGCTATGTCGTACAGTTAGCCAGCGTTTCAATTTGTAAGTGTTGCGTAAGCCGCAGCGTGATTCGGCGCTGGCTTGAAATCCGTGATGCGTGCAGCGTTGTCCACGGTCTTCGAAATCTAGTAGATTTTTGAAAGCCGGAGAAATTCCCTCCAGATTATATATGTTTCTAGAAAGTAGATTGCTCAGATATCGAGTCTTCTCTTGTCCTCTGGTATAGATGTAGCGAGCGTGTCGTGTAATGTCACGCAGATGTATCATAAAGTTTTTTGGATTGACGTCTCCATCGAACCATTCGATTTCATGATAATTTCGTGAGCCAGTTGTTTTCTCGTTTTGCTCTCACGGGTAAATCTTCAAATGGACAGGGTGACGTCATAATCCAGTGTCCGGTGATCGCAGCATTAATCGCTAGAACCGCCACTTCTTTCGGAATAAAGTTTTCTTCGACATCGCGAAAACCCTATATGTCGATGACTATATCCATTATGATATTATATTCGAATTTTCGCTACTTTTTTTTACGTCACGAAACGTTGGCGTTGGTGTCGCGATCAAGACTGAAGCTTTTTCGTATTCAGGCGTCCAATTAAACGAGAAAAAATGCGTAGTAGGGGAGGGAAAATAATTTTCTCGCGAAAGCCGTAGAACTAACCAGAAAAGTCGACAATAACTTGACGCGAGGAATCGATTTCTTAAATGTTATCAAACTCGGCATAGACGATACAATTAATAGTCGCAGAAAGAGCTTTTTCGAATCTCACTTCTAATCGTAAGCTTCCGTGTTTTACGAGATTCCAATGTCCCGCGCAATTAGCGGATAGATCGGGAGTAAGATCGAAAGCGAAAAGAGTGTAGCCGTTGGCGTAATCGTCTCTACTTATAGAATTGCCCTCGTTCAGAAAGTGGATACCGGTTCCGGAGAATAATGTGTGATAAGCTTCAACGTAGAGCGGGTCGTTTTTCGAAAAATTTGGTTGTATCGGCCTACTCGGAATTTGCATGCCATCGGCGTACAGTGAAAAGAAATTTATTCCGTAATTTTTGAAATTAAACGGGTTTAATTTTCTATCACCGTTAAACGCTTTGTTATCGACAAAGCCGACTATTATTCGTTTTGGTAGCTGCCCGAGTATTGCGTTGTCTATCGATTCCCCCACGACGCCGGCGTGTATCGTGAATGTCTTAACTTCGACCCTCGTAAGGGGATACTTGGCGGTAGTTTTACTCAGCATTCTGGCGTGTGCGAGGAGCACGCCCGGGCTTATTTTTGCTCTTCTTACGAGTAGACTGGCATCAAGAATGCGTATTTTTGATAGCGTTTTACTCTCCATAAGACAAAATGAATTTTTCGAGCGTACGAGTCTCATTCTAACCTCCACTCCATTAATTAAAAATTTATCTTGATTGAAAACGTCGCAGTGAAGATGACCAATGAGATCTAGAGCGCGATTTCCTCGAATGTATCGCGCGCGTCTCTCGAGCGCTGTATTTGGATTTGTCGCGTCTAGCGTGTCGTCCATGTAACCAGGGATATCCGCGTCCCATAAGCAAGAGGTTAGATGGGAGGTTTTTGCGGGTGAAGCATAATTTAATAACGCCTCGATGTACGCGCGGTACGCGTAAGCGTTGTTTGGTGGCGATACGAGCTTTTGATTGAAATATACGTCGATTTGGTTGAACATGGAATGCAATAAATGATTTACGGGGCCTACTTTTGCCTCGCCATCGGGCGCGACCGACGTGTTCTCCCCGCGCTCGCTTTCTACGCGTATACGAAGGCTCAACATGGTGTGAGTGAGGTCCAGATAGTCTTCTCCATGTCCGGGTATGACGAATTCTATGGGCGAGTCGTCTGCGAGCGAAGTTACGGGTTTGTAATAAATCCATTGCGAACTCTCAATGCTGGTTTGCGTAGATGGCAGAGAGAAGAGATCGAATTTGCTCTTTATACACTCGCTCGAGTGGGTATGAAGAAAGTACATGCTTTTCTCCAACAGCAAAATCGTATCTCGATTAAGAGAATATGTCAGATATGTCGCGTTTTTTGTCCCGATGTTTCCTAGCGGATGATTTTTTGGTTTTTCTTCCAGCAGCACGAATTTTCTTTTTCTTCGTCACTTTTTTGCTCTTCTTCCCTGTGATACTTCTCGATGATTTTCTTTTGACCCCCCAACGGCGTTTACGATGCGCGATACTTCTATCTCGACCACCGAGTGGAAACTGAAGCGCTGCGGATTTCGTGGATATTTTATATTCAGATCCCCTCATCAGGGAGCTTATTTTTTCTTTGGCTTTTCGATTCAGATTACCCCTCGATTCCACGAGCCGACTTTTGATCGCTTCCTTTAACGGTTTATTATTTTCGACGTCTTCTATCTTAATTCCAGGGCGTAAAGCTTCTTTTCTTACAGCACGCGCATCCTTATTTAGAAAAGGTAGTATTTTTCTAAAACCTCTAAATAACCCTCCGAGAAAGATTCCGATTCTATGCCCGCGCTGATAGGGTGAACCGACGAAAACACGTGGAATTCCACCTCTGCTACCGGTATCCCGCGCTCAAATCGCATCAAAATACTCCTCATATTCCATTGCGAGTTGTTAACTATAGACTGGCGTTACCTTCACGTTCGCGCATACGAAAGAAAGTTATTGCTTACGTTTAAAGTGCAGTGTCAGCGTACCGAATTCGAATGGAATTTTATTTCCAAGATGATCTCTTATATCTATTTCGATCGTTCTGAAATTTGTTCGCTGCAAGGGGATATAATTTGGAAATGAGAAATGCTTCACTAAATTTGCACCAAATGCGTAATTTTGACTGCGTATCTCGATCGGTATTATTCTGAGAAAAGGAGTACGCACATCGCCTGTTATACATATAAGGCGCACAAATATCGCAATATACGAACATTTTATCAGGGATAGCACGCCACAAACTATAGAGTTCACTACTCCAATAACCGACTATATGTCGCTGCCCCATCTTCTTATTAAATCCATGAGTAAGAAAAATTTTCTCTTCTGTCTCATTGGAATTAGGTTTACGTATCGAAAGCCTGGAATACAATTCATTTTTATTGGAAATTGTTACTGTGAGAAACCTAGCATTCGTAGAAGATTATCTGAAAAGTTTATACGATGTAGCATTTTGCATTTTTCGTCGCAGTTAATACTTATGTATACTTTGCCGCCAGACGCACTTTGCTGTTCGAAATAAAAATGCGATTCGGCATCTTTACACGCGATATTAATCGCCTTAATAAGCTCGTGGATATCGTTGTGAAATTCCATTTGGAAATGGAGCTTTTTTTGCCGTAAACGGGCCATTCGTTTCCTCATCGGGTTTAACGTCGACGAATCTGATCACATTTTTTTCGTTATGACGTACGTGTAAAAAGGTACAAGGAAATTGAATCTCACTTATCGCAACCTCCCATTCTCCATGCAACACTATAGGGTGAGGTAATTCCGTGATGAAGGACGACGTTGTATTATTAGGAAAATGGCGCATACTACTGTTACTCGGGAGTACCAGAAGAAATTGTTCCTCCTCCATCGCGAAGAGAAACTCGATGCCGGAATCCAGGTATCAACCTTACTGGGATAACCGCGCCAGTTAACTAGCACTTGTTTATTAGCTCCTTACCCTCTACTCTTTATCACGCGATCAACGATAAATTGTTCTTCCTCTAGGTTCTTCTCAACTCGTGCTAATTCTTGCTCATAAAAAATGCCGTCTATGACTTCGTCTGCTAAATCTCGTAGTTCGTACACGTGAGGATTTCGCCCCAATCGAGAATACGATAAATTTGAAATAATTCCTCGCTCCATTTAGCCTCGTAACCTTTCTCGAAGACTG